AAAAAAAAAAAAAAAATTATTTCTTTCTTTCTTTCTTTTTTTTAATTTTCTTGTAGAACTTCTAAGGGGTTTTAGCACATAACCTTTAATCCATCTGGAACCTCTTTTCATGTATGCTATGAAGGAAAATCTAATATTTAGATTAGCCAGCAATCCAACATAGGAGTGAAAGTCATTTTCTTCATTTGGCTTACCTATACCTTCTTATCCCTACAATAACCATGTTATTTGTGTAAAAAAGAGATTTTTTTCTGTATTTCTTAGATTCATCCTAATTGTTCAAAAATAAATACTTGGGGTTTAATTCCAGTTACCTGTCTTTTGGATCCCAGCTAAAGAAAACATTTAAATCTCTGTTGTCTCGCAAGGCTTCCCATGGAATGTCATCTTCTTCTGGCCGAAGATTCATTGACTTTATACTTTCTGCTAAACTGGTTGATCTGTGATATAGAAAATTTATTTATTATTTCAATAGTAAAACAGCCATGAAAACATATTAGCCACAACTTTGTTTTACTAGAAAGGAAAAGAAAGAGGAAGAAGGATTTACTATTAAGAAGTAAAGGTTCACAGAAGATGACACAGAACCAAGCCCATATCATGCTGGCCTGCTACACAGCAAGAGAAAGCATCTGGAAGTGGATCAACATTAATTCCTGAAATCCCATGTTTAACAGGGGAAGGGAAACCCTTTAAACACGACATGGAGTGGGGTGGCTGGCTTGTGGACGTGACATGAGATGGTGCGCTGCTGGTAGCGCCCGTCATTCCCCACGACGTGACCTGGGTCACTTCCCCTTTCTTCTCTGCTCCCACCAACTTCCTCTCTCTCATTCTCTCTCTCTCTCTCTTTTTTTTTTCCCCATTTTTCCTTAGCCTAGGCCTGCTATTACCACCCAGGAGCCCATTAATGGCTCTCAGGTTCTGATCTAATCCTTAGTTCCTTTTTAGCTCTTGTGCAATACTTACATATTTGCTTCAAGTAGAAGGTCTAACAACATCCGTTCAGTACGGACTTGTGCAAAATGAAGAGAATTATTCAGCCTGTTCCTAAAAGCGATAAACTCTGGAATCTTCTCAAATGCACCATATTTGTAAGCTTGAATAATATATTCTGAGGTCTGGGAAGGAAAGACATCACCTCCGTATAAATATTTCACAGATCAGACAATGAAGGCAAACCTTGCCAGGCAAAACAAAACTCTCAAACTAAAAATTAAGTAAGATGTGAAATCTAATCTTTAAAGGTTATCAAGTAGAGTATCAGCTTTAAAAAACATTATTTTTCTTCTTTCCTATACCAGAGTCGTACGTGTACTTTACTAATTCTACTACTAATAATACCCAGCTGCTGCTACCACCACAGAGACTTTCTCTTAGCAGTTATGTCTTTCAATTCAGTAGGACTGGAGGTTTTGTGATACCACATCAGTTTGTTAGTGCCATTGTGGAAGGGATGTTACTCCATGTTTTTCTGCATCTAAGATAAATTGTGTTTTATACAAAGGTTCCAAAAACACCAGAATAATATAACCACCCCACCACCAACCCAAATAAGAATCACCCGCCTCCAGAAAAAAGACAGGCTGCTCCTTGGTTTTGTTTATTTCTGAGTACTATGTATCACAAACAGGGCATATATGCATTACATCAGGATAGAAGACAACAAACAAAAGACCCATAAGAATTCATCAGACTCCACTCTGAGGACAGAAAGACTGCAAGAACCAGGTTTCTTGTCTATCCAAACTACATAAGACCTATGCTGGAAAATTCCATGAACAAGTAAGTGAAGGGAACACTCACCAAATGCGCTTTAATTTTAGATTAATACATATGTACAGATGAAATGTTGTGAACAGAGGCAAGAAAAAGAATTGTCAACAGAAATCCTGGCACAATAGAAGAAAATCTCAGGGAAGAACATTTTATGGGTATGGGCTTATGCCATCAGGATCAGAAGTCAGAAGGGTACCCTTTTGGGCCAAGGAATGTTAAGCTCAAAGTAGATGTCTGCCCCAAAGAACCTTTCTAGAAAAGCCAGTCTTTTTACACAGCCTCAGTCAGCTCTGCCCCCATCTCCATTATGACTGAATTATTTGCCCAGTAGGAAAATAGGCCAATAGTCAACAACATACCCTCTGATATACAGCCTTGCAGGGTTCATTTCAGGCCGCGGGATTGCGCCACGGGCGCTAATTCAACTGCATTCGATGCGGCTTTTAAACCCCATGGGACACCTCGGCGAGCTGTTTGCCTGCAGTATCTGGAGAAATTAAAGACGGACGGACACAAGAAAATTAAAAAGATTACTTGTGATCCTGCAGGTTTAAAGAAGGACTATCCGAAAAAGCTCAAGTGTACCTTCTAGCCTGATTAAAGGACAGTGATATGCCCCATCAAAAAGAGGCCAGGATACTCTAAACACAACATGCCTATCCGATGGCCTCTTGGCTTGGAAAAGGCAAGGTTTACCATCAGCCCTTGCAACACGAACTTACAGCTTGAAAAAACCAGCTGCTTAGGAACATAATGATCCAGCAATTAATCAGGATAAAAACAGGACTTCTGGGGATTCCAATCAAATTTCTCAATTACAGCTCCAAAATACGCTGATTAAAGAAAAGAACTCAGCTTTACAAAGTATAGAGGCAGTTTTAATTTCTGAGTGGTCCATGGAATACCACTTTTGAAAAAAAAGGCAGTAACTTTTTAAAAAAGAAAAACAAGGGGCAACAGAAAGGGAATGTAGTCCTTTAGCAAACTGAGAAGGTAACTGCAGCTCTCTGGCTTCTGTTTTTAAGGTAGTCCTCCTTTAATGCTGCAGCAAAGTATCACTGCAGAGCTAGAAAAGGGCCTGGGCATCCTGCAGTAAGACTGAGCATGAGAGAGGTCTACAGTTTGAAGAGACAACCCCTACTGGAACTGCAGGCAAAACCGGAAGCCACAGGCACTTTAAAAACTTTTGAATATCAAAGAATGTTGTCCGTACCTATTTCTACTCATTTAGTGCACCATGAGGCTAGTTATATCCCATATGGATTCCTGAAATGAACCCTGGTCACTGTAAAAATTAACAAAATAGATGGACATCAAACCCGGAATGATCATCTTCATGAATACCAGAACAGACTTTTAAAGGGAAATTATTTTTAAAGTACAAACAAGTACTTTTCCAAAAAGTAACTTTTGGAGATAAGAAGATCTGGCTCTAAGTCTCGTATTGTAAAAATCTATTCCAAAGTAAGATGACAGCAACAATGATGACCTTTCCAGAAAGAAAATCCCTGTGTAGACCTTCCAAATATAACTTTCAATCCCATAGCACAAAGCCTTACAAACAAACACTGGATTTTCCAGTTAAGGAGTAAAAATGTTCTTTCAAAGAGAAAGTTGGGAATTGAAATACATCAGTCACTCAAGAAAAAAACCATCTGGGGATCTCAAAAACTACCAAGAATAAAAGACATAGAACATAGAGTTTTAGCTTTCCAGAGATGTATCTAATACTATCAGAAGGTTTAACACATACAAGGCAACACTAAAATCATGCTCTTTCTTATCCTCAAATTCCTATAGGAAACAGTCCACACCCACAGTTTCCAGTTCCCTATTTTGGGACTCAAGCTAGGCATGAAGGTTTAAGGTGCATTTTCCTTGCTGTATTGGTTTTTGCTTTTGCCTCTAGGGCTCCCTAAAGATTATTTACTTCAGTAAGATTAAATAAACTCTTTCTTCTTGGTAGTAATAAAAATAAATTTCAAGCAGAGAGTCCTATTCCCAGATCAATAAAATGACCAGGTCCAGCATCACATATATTCAGACCAATTAGTCACTCCTGCTACACATGCATCAGCAAAACTTCGAAGATAAAAAAAAAAAAGCCACTGAGAACAAAATACCCTCTCAAATCATTCCTGAGGATCTCCTTTCTCTGTAACAATAACTTGAATTGTTTTGTTTTGGGGTGGGTGTGTTTTGTTTTCAAAACAACTCTTTAGACACAATAATTGTGGGGGAAAAAATTAAAGGTTAATTTTCAATAGTATATGACATGTGACTTATTGACCAAATCAGGAACAATATGGTGCTTCTAGAATGCTGGATGATTAAAAACTAGAATAAAACCAGCCACCAGGCATGGATTAATCTCTTATTTACCCCCGACTTCCACCTCAGAGTTATTTGAGAAATAAAACTTTGAAAAGGAGTCATTAATAAATCAAATATTTCTTAGAAATACAGAAATGACAGCCAGAATAATGAGATCTGAGAAACAGTTTTGATTTTTTTTCCCTTGACTTAGTGAAACTTCTTAAGAACAGAGAAGGGCAAGCACAGATACCTGAACACACAGTACAAACACACAGATTTATAACTCAACTGCCTACTTGTGCTAGGATATTTTAGAAACCCAAGGTCCTAGAGATGCCCTCGGATCTCTAAGCCAGGCCAGCACCTTCCAGGCAGCATGTTCAAATGCTGATGCCTACTTCCTTCTCTCCCTGATCAGGAGCTATGGCACAAAATAAGGCATGAACAGAGATCCCAATCATTGAAGGAAGGGCACCACAGGGGAAGGGGAATAGGGCTTAAAAGCCAACTGATGCACAGCTTACCATCCCTTGCTACACCAGCCCTCTAGGCCTTCCCCTAAGGCTTGTCAGGACAAAATTACTGCAAGCTGACAACAATAAACCTATATTCCATTGTTCAGAAATGGTTCTGCTCTGTCTTCTATTTAATACAAGGCAAAAGAATTCAATGGAAGATAGATTAGCCACAGCTATTACAGTTACAAAAGAACCATCCCAAAAACCAGTTTTCTTGCCAAGTTCCTTAGTTGCTGTTAGACCATGAAAACAGAAAACTACGGGCAGATACCTGGCATGGTCGAATTCCAGGCAATGAGTTTTAGAAGCACATGAGAACAAAGCAGGCAATGACCATCCTAGAGATTCACCTTCTTTTCGCCTGTGTTCTAGGTGGGTTTGCACAGCTGGCTGACTGACTAGAGACTATATAAAACTTCTGCTTAACTGACAAGTGGAGACCAAGTCTGCTTGCAGTGAAAAATATGGTGCAAATCCCATCCTTTCATTACGGCACACGGCTCTACGTTATTTATTGCTACTTTAAAACATACTATTGACACAAGTTTCTTGAAATATCCTTCAACTGGTCAATTTTATAATTCTAAGAAAATACAAGTGCACTGGCTGTTGGCAAAGAGCATGGTAGTATAAACTTCAGAAATAAAGAGCAGCTGCTGTTGCAGAATCTTCTATGGCATCCCAGGCCAGAAACACTTATGACCTCTTATACCCTTAGAAAAAGTCTCTTAGAAATTAAAAGATAGGTCTAAGAGGAATACCACTTCCTACTCTGTTAATACCATTTTAACTATACCTCTGCATGGATTCTATTAAACACACCCATTCTAGCAACCACAAATAACTCTTTACCTCTACCTAACAAGACGTGGCCGGTAAGCTATGGCCTAAGGGCACTTGCAAGTATGCATGGTGCACCTCAACATGCACGCTTGCCACATGAGGGAAGATGTTCTCTGAATCATGTGCATTCAGCAGGCAAGAACATATTTTTAAAAAATATTTTTCACTTACATCTTTCTGGTTGGAGTGGAAAAACCTGAGTGCGAAGTTACAGGATTGGGATGCAGCAGCATACTGACCTAGGGATTCGGCGTATCGGGTCAAAAGATAGCTAGGTCAGAAGGGAAGAAAGAAAGAAAAAAAAAAAGTGTGTTATACTTACCACCTCCAGTATCAACTACACTTCAAATTATTATAGCAGAGAAATAGGCACACAGGAAAGTTAAAATATCTTGCCACATAAATTATCTCATTCACAGAATCAATTTTTTTTTTTAAAAAGAGCAAAGTTATTTCAGTTTTGCGGGAGACCTAAAGCTCTACGCCATGCTTTCTTAGGCTCAGATGATTAATGGAACCAAAGGGAATAGAGAAAATACCCTTGATTCATCATAAAGAATAGTCAAAACACAAGTTCAAAGGATCTCTAAGGTCAACAAATAAAGTACATGTGTTAATCTCAACTGCAAAGCAGAAATAAAAGACTTCAAGACAATGTGTGCTAAGAAAAAGTGTTCAAAGTGTATAGCTGTTTGCTATCTCTGGGGAAAATTTTCTTACCTTTTCAAAACTGTGCAAATTTAAAAATTACCATTAAATGCTGGAAGATATAAAAACCTTTCTGCTTTGCAATGGGTCATCATGGGGAATTACTTAATCTAAAAAGCTTAATAACAGAAACAACTCTACTGCTAAAATTGAAGAGTTTGTGCTCCATGTATAAGGACCCCACCCTAGTGCAGCTGGCTGCTCAGTATTCAGAGTATATACTACCAACCCAATGGTGTCATGCTGGATATGCTTAGCATCAAGGCTGGAGTACAGATCCACCACTGGTTCAAATGCCCCCAGCACACAGTAGATTCGAACAAGCAGCAATTTGAATTGAGCGTTGGAAGGGCTGTGGGTTAATCCCTCTTCCAGCAAAGTCAGGGCCTGCCACACAGCAGTCTGGTCACCTAGAACCAAAATGTAACAGTATTACCCACAGTATTTAGCAGCAAAGGGAGGCTTCTCACAAACAAAAGACAAAAACTTACTGATATTATCACCTCCCCTAACTATTTGAAGAATGAGTTTAGGTGTCAAAGAACAAATTTTAGATACACACCTGTAAGCAAAATAGGGAATTTCCCAGAATAAACAGTTTCTCAATAGTTACCTCAGTTCTTAAACATGCATCTGCAAAAGTGATGCAAACTTCAAGTTGCAAGGTCTTATGAAAGAAGTTACAGAATCTCCGAGAATCCTAGATTCTGAGAAGAGATGGACTTTGAAGGAGAATTTGAGTCCACCAACCTTCCCAGTACAGGATTTTCTCTACCAGACCCCAGAAAGATGCTGTCTCTAGACAACATTTTTCTTCCATACGCAACTCTACTATTCAGATGTCAAGTGATATTTGAAAAAAGCTGTTCATTAATAATCAAATTAATATACTTATTTTTGGCCTACCAAAATTCAATAGTCTTAAATCAATAGTCTTAATCAATAGTCTTAAAGATTAAGTAACTTCTCTTTTATGAACCTAAGAAAATAATATGAAATGGAGATAAAGATTTATATACAAAAATATTCACTGTACTAATAATGGGGGAATGATTAAATAAACTATAGTAAAACCCACATTATGCAGCCATCTGACATTAATGAGTTTTTAGTAATAAGGGAAAATACTTATACAGTAACAGTTCAGTAAAACACACAGAATTCAAATTAATGTGAAGATGTGATCTTTAGTCTATAAGACATGCACAGAAAAAAAGAGAAGGAAATATGCCAAATTTTAGAATGCCTTTTGGAAGATGGAAAAGTAAGATTAAAATAAACTGTTTCCCAAAACTTCTTTTTTTTTTAAAGATTTTACTTTTTATTTATTTATTTGGCAGAGACAGACACAGCAACAGAGGGAACACAAGCCCGGGGAGTGGGAGAGGGAGAAGCAGGCTTCCCATGGAGCAGGGAGCCCGATGCAGGGCTCGATCCCAGGACCCTGGGATCATGACCTGAGCTGAAGGCAGATGCTTAACGACTGAGCCACTCAGGCGCGCGCCCGTTTCCCAAAACTTTTGTAAGTTATTTTTACAGTCAGAAAAAACTTAAACTAAAACTTAAAAAACTTAAAGTAAAAGCTCTATGCCTTGAGCTTTTCGAATTATATGCTACAGGCTTTTTTCTAAAAGAAAGGAGATATAATCAAAAATTGGGGCTTTAGATAAATATCCATAATCCTACCCAAACTATGCATACGTATAATCTATGCAAACTACCATTGATTTTAATGTATTGCCTTTGAGTCAGAATTACTTTTACACAGTAGTAATCACGACATACATCTAATTTTGTGTTCTGCTCTTTGCTTTGAAGTATTTTTCCATGTTGCTACCTAGTCTTCACAATCATAATTTTGTTGAATTCAACACTTACCGACTTAAACTCTGGAGTAACACTAGATATAGGACCAGAGGATAAGGGTCACAGGTGGTTCCTGGCCTCAAGGGGCTCAGAGGTAAGTAGAGAAAACAGCTGGACAATTAAAGGGAATAAATAATTTTAAGAAGTCCTAATTACTCGGGGTGCCTGGGTGGCTCAGTCAGTTAGTTAGGCAACCAACTCTTGGTTTCAGCTTGGATCGTGATCTCAGAGTCATGGGATCAAGCCCCACATGGAACAGGTTCTGTGCTCAGCGGGGAGTCGGCTTGAGGGTTCTCTCCCTCTGCCCCTCCCCGGTTCTCTCCCTCTGCCCCTCCCCCAACTGGTGTGCACACTTACTCTCCACTCTCTCTCTGAAGTAAATAAATAAATCTTAAAAAAAAAAAAAGGGGGGGTGCCTGGGTGGCTCAGTGGGTTAAGCATCTGCCTTTGGCTCGGGTCATGTCTCAGGGTCCTGGGATCTAGCTGTGTGTCGGGCTCCCCGCTCAGAGGGGAGTATGCTTCTCCCTCTGCCCTTCCCCCAGCTCATGCTCTCTCTCTCAAATAAATAAAGATCTTTAAAAAAAGTCCTAGTTACACAAAGATAACTAGTATTAAAAAAATAATCTCCTTAAAACGGAAACAAAATTTCAAACTAAATAGCAAAAAACAAAAACAAAAAGAATAATTTACACTTCTTTCTCACCTATTAAACCGTTATAAAAATATTTATTATTTTGCAAAATTTACGCTGTAACTACAACTCTATGCAAATTCTTCAAATCAAAAGAGCATCAAGCAAAAAAAGAAAAGAACATGAAGGACTGATTAGACTTTTTGGGAAAAAATTTTTCTAACTAAATGTTGTACTATAACAAAATGATATATTCTAGGGATATGTTAATGTATAGTATGCACTACAGATAACAATACTATACTGCATACTCAAAAGCTGCTAGGAGAGTAGATCTTAATATTTCTCATCACAAGGAAAAACATCTAACTATGGGGTGATAGATGTTAACTAAACTTGTGGTAATCATTTCATGATATACATACATCAAATCATCATGTTATACATCTTAAGCTATACAATCTTAAGCTAATACAATGTAATATGCCAATCACATTTCTGCAATAAAACTAGCGGGAAAAAAGGATCCTCAACTCCCCATTTTACTTTTGCAGAATCACAAACAAACGCCTTTTTGCAAAATATCTGAGAGCATCATCAACTTCTTAAAGTGCTCTTCTTAATCTTTCACATTCAAATCAGTCTCTTCCAACATCCGTACCAAATTTCTATAGATTTCTAATATCTGTCAGATCCACCTTGGACAATGACTATACCTCTAATTAGAGCATTTCAACATCACTTTCACGGACTGCAAGAAACCTTGCATCTTTATAATATTGGCAATTTTCCAATGCATCTGCACTGTATGATTATGGAAAATTTGCTTAACTTCTTTCTCTCTGCCCTGTCTTTCCTTCATCTATAAAACTATACTAATCTTAACTGTATTATCATGAGGTTTAAATTATATAATTCATGTAAAGCATTTTCAAGTGCCTGATGATCAACAACTGCTAGCTGCTATTGCTATATTGGGCATATTGCTCAAAAAAACAAGGGATTAGCAAAGCCATATAGTCACTTATGAGCAAGAATGGATGCTAGAATAAGTGGGGAAGGGTATCTGAGTAGGAACCAAATTACTAAGAGGTCAGTTCATTAATGATGTTTTTCTTAAGCTCTATGCAAACTCACAATTCTGGGGCTCAGATGACAAAGACTCTGATAAAAAGGATTTCACCCCCATCTCCAGTACAATATAGTATAACAAGTACTAGCACAGGGGTACACACAACGTCCTACAAAAGTTGAGAAGGGGCATAAAATCTGCAATGGGGGAGGGGGGTGAAATCAAGACAGGCTTGGCAGAGGTACCGTTTGAGTAAAAGTCAGATGAAGGAAGGAAGAAAGTTATTTCAAAGAGAGGCACATGATGTTCACTAATACTAGCAAACAAAAAAACAGATTTAGGCTGTAAGTACCTAAGAATTTGGAGATACAGGCAGAGGCTAGATTATAAAGAGCATTATAAACTATCCTAAAGAGGTTGACCTTTACCCTCAGGAAAGTAGGGCACCTCTGAAGGATTTTAAGCACGAGGATGATGGTATCAAAATCAAGTGCTCCATGAAATGATCTCGAGGACAGGCCTTGTATCCATCATGCACAGTACTGTCTCCCCCGGCCTTTGTTTCTTGTGTAGTTTATTCTCGTGAATAATATGCAATAAGTACCTATTTTTCCCCAAAAAACTGCTAATAAAAGAAAATGTCAGGAATGAGACCTAAAGAAAAGGTAATCTCAATACCATTTGCTCAATCATCCTTTTCTTGCTCAATGATATATGATGCTTCCTTCAGCATATATTGTATTTCTGTCCTAAATAGGTTAATTACAATTATATTCCAAAGAGTGCATTCTCCTAAACATTTTTTTAAGTGAATAAAAAGGGCTACTCCATTTCATGGGCCTATACATCTATCTCTGAATCAGTTTCTCTATATTTTAATTGTTGCAACTTCGTCATTATTCACTATTTAGAAATGTTTAAAAACAGAACAAAAAACAAGAAATAACATGTGTTGACAAGGATGTGGAGAGAAAGGATCCCTCATGCACTGCTGGTGGGAATATAAATTGGTGCAGCCATTGTGGAAAACAGTATGGAGGTTCCTCAAAAAATTAAAAATAGAAATATCATATGATTCACTAATTCCATTACTGGGTATTTACCAAAAGAAAATGAAAATATTAACTCAAAAAGATATACGCACCCCTATGTTTACTGCAGCATTATTTACAATAGCCAGGATATGGAAGCAAACCAAGTGTCCATCAGTAGATGAATGGATAAAGAAGATGTGGTACACACACACACACGCGCACACACACACGAATATTATTCAGCCATAAAAAAGAATATTTTGCCATTTCCAACAACATGGATGGACCTAGAGGGTATTATGCTAAGTGAAATAAGCTAGACAGAGAAAGACAAATACCATATGATTTCACTTATATGTGTAATCTAAAAAATAAAATGAACAAACAAAAAAGCAGACACAGACCTATAAATACAGAGAACTGGTGGTTGTCAGGAGGAGTGGGGGCGGCAAAAAGAGGAGTGGGAGGTGCAAGCTTCCAGTCATAGAATGAGTAAGTCACAGGGATGAAAGGCACAGCATAGGAAATATAGTCAATGGTATTGTAACAGCGGTGTATGGTGAGAGATGGTGGCTGCATTTGAGGTGAGCATCGCATGATGTACAGAACTGTCAAATCACTATGTTGTACACTTGAAATTAATGTAATGTGTGTCAACTATCAATTTAACAAAATTTAAAAAATAAAAACAGATGTGCACTGATTTAAGATTATCCTGATTACAGAGAAGGGGATATCTGGAGAAGGGTTCTTCTAGAAGCACCCTGGAGAAGGGCAAGGAGGAAAAACCTAAAAGCATAAATCAAATTCTTGGATTATATAATCAGTCTCAGGATTTATAATCAATAAAAGCAAAGCGTAAAGTTAAACTGAAATTACTCTTCCTTACCTGTTTCTCTCCATATATCAATAAGCACATGGACAGCAAGGAGACAGTAATAGTCTGAAAACTGCAATTCGGTTTTCAAACAGGATTTCCCTGTAGGGAAAAAATCCCATATTTGTATTTTAACATTTGTTCAACTAACACTGCCCCAAAGGAGTTTTTTAAAGCAGGAAAGTGACAGGAGGGAGAAGATAAAAAGAGGAAATGAAAGTAGTAAGAGTCGTGTAAATACCAGAAGAAAAATATAAGCCATGAATCAAAGGATTCAAAAGAAGGTTTAAGGCCACACTCAGCTGGAAAAGAAGAAAGAGTTCCAGAACAAAGGTGGTATCTGCAATGGCCCCAAAAGGGAGAGCAGCAAGATTTGGAAGGTTTCAGGTAAAGAGAAGAACAGAAGCCAAGGGCCATGTACAACTAAAGTAATAGTACGCTCTTTACTTCGCCTAATGATTTAGAATACAGTTAGAGAAACACTGACATCTGGTCACATAATTTATACTTTACCACATATATCTAGCAAAAAGATCATCTACTTCTAAACTAAACATTTACCTCATAATTTACAACATTCATTTTGTTCAATTTTAGTCTATATATTAAAATACTAAGGCCTATAAGCAGAAAATGTCACAATTAACCATAAACTCCATGTAATTCATATGAGCCCCAGTGTAATAGAGTTAGCTCAATCAAGAATATGGACAACTATAATTATTTAAAGCTCCAAACTTAAGAAAGGTTTTACATGTGAACAGTCTTCCCACCAGACAAAATATTCTCCTTGCCAAATTCATTAAAACAAGGTGCTCTGAGTGGTGGTCAAAAACAACAACAACAAAAAAAACCCAACAAAAATGGACTAAACCTTAGCAAATCAGGCAACTATTACACATTTTGAAAGAATGCTCACCAAATTCTAGTCCATGCTGGTACCTTAACATGAGTTCTCTGACCACACTCAGTTTCTGATTTTTATCCATAGTGTGGTACAAGCCGAGCAACCTCGTCAGCTGCACCACACACAGATGCTGCTGCAGAGCTCTGATGTCCGCGGGCAGTGCCAGCTTATCCTCGGTTGGTGTAGACAAAGGAACAACTCCAAGTAACTGATTAATAAACTGCAATGTAGAAAAAAAGGAGGACAGATCTCAAAACAGAACTCATCTTTGGTAGGCCATAATTAACAAACATTGAAATGATCTAGAAAAGACATTTTCTTTTTTTTTTTTTTAAGATTTTATTTAGGGGGCGCCTGAGTGGCTCAGTCGGTTAAGCGTCTGCCTTCGGCTCAGGTCATGATCCCAGGGTCCTGGGATCGAGTCCCACATCGGGC